AACATGAAGACCAAAGGGATCGTAACGATTAGTGAGTTGAAGCAACATTGGCCATTGACACCTTGTCAGTAGACATTGTTAAATTACAATAACATGGCTTACTACAATTTATAGTTCATACGGAATGCAAACATAGTTTTTTTTTTTTTTGTTCTATTATAACATCACCACAATTACGTGTATCAACATTGATAAGTATTAGTTTCTGCAAACCTGCCTTAAATTTTGTAAGCAAATAAATATAATAAAGCCACCCAAAATCCATTTATTTGTTCACCATCTTATTTGGTGCCATATTTGCTTCTTTATTTTTGGAGTTTGTCCATGTGTACAAGCAGACGACCTTATGTTGAAGAGTGATAGTGCATAACTTATAACGTGTGTTAGTGAACAGACCCACAAGATTAAAGTTTAACATATAAAGTATAGGAATAAGATCCTATAAGCTACAAACTCTGATCCTATGTTTTGTCGATCTATGTCTTCGTTAACAGCCTAAGGTCATCGCCCTAAGGTCATAGCACTTCCTTTGGTCCATGGTGAGAAAGGAAGCCACCAATTATATTGAGCTGCTGGAATTGACTAATTAACACCTAATGGATGGGAAGAAAGGCAAAGGAGGATAAAAAGAGGATGCCCCACAGAGAACTAGCCTCTTGGCCTCGAGGGGAAGGACCATCATCGCCCTAAGGTCATAGCACCTAATGTTTCACTTTTCTTTATCTCCTCTCTTCTCCATCTCAAAGCTCTACTTGGACATTCTACTAGCATATCAATTAAGATTGTTTGTTCGAGTATAAATAGTAAGCAAGATTTGTTACATATATTAAACATGCTCAAACTCACTCAAATATTCTAGGGTTGCTACTGCATTAAAAACATATTCCCACTGGATCAAAGATAATAATATTCTATTCAGAAATATAATCCATGCTAATGGTGAATTCCAGCTGTGTTTGTTGAGAACAGTGAATCCTTGTCTTCTCAAATAATCAATGTCATGTAGAACCACCTAAATGTCATCTTCATGTATTGGGAATCATAAAGTACGTGCAACTTCGTGTTGTTAATTCTCCAACTATTAACATCAAACGTGTCCAAAAGATGTCCCATGTCTGAATTCTGCTCCTCTCTCTAAATAACAATGTAAGAGACTAGAGATAGAAGTGGCCAACCATTTAAGTATCAGAACCCGTAATCCAACTTGAGTACCTAATCAAAGAGTACCCTAATATGATTAGGACACTTAATCATAACACCAAAATATTCAACTCACTGCCATATGTTGCTCAGATATCTAGGAATAACCATATCATGCTTGAGGCCATGGTCTAATTCCAGCCTTGGTTCTCCATTAGTTGTGGTACTTGAACAAGGAGTGCACTATGAGTTCATCAGCAGCATGAGTCACCTGTCACGTCCATACAGCGGCAGCTACTGAAGCATATTAAAGTGGTATCTTTGAGCCCGACCTCAATCTGCCTCTTTCCAGTACATAAATATGCATGTATAAATATCTCAATTGTAATGGCCTCCATTTGAAGAAGAAAACAATGCTCTTCGTGTATGTGTGTGCATGTTAGAGCAAGCCTAGTAATCTGGGGTTTGGGTTCGAATTCCCTGCAGGTTTTGAGAGATCTATCATCTTCCTTCTAGGTAAAGACTCTTGTATTGAGCTGGAGTACATCATAGCTTATTCCATCTCAGCGAAGCACTTTTCTTTAGATCGATTGGCTGAGCTATAAAAGAGACTGCATTGGTTGTATCTAATATTATTTGTTTTATCCCCATCTTTGTGCCATGATTCCTGCTGTCATCACAGTGCTTATGCTAACGCATCGATGATTCCTTGTGTGCCTTTTGTTTTGTGTGCAGAAAGCATCCGCCAAGGAAACAGACGTCAGTATGTGGATAACGGCAGTCGACAACTCGATGCACCTTTGTGTTGGTGGAGCTCACTGCCTGCATGCTTTTGCGAGCTTTAGCTGATGAACGTCCGAGAAGCCATCCGTCGCAGTCTGGGGCTGGAGATTATCACAGACAGATTCCTTCACACGATGGCTTGATGCAGTGGTCTTTCAATCTTCCCTTTTGAACCAGTGCGATGTTCTTGTGCTGGTCCTTATCCAATGCGTCTTAGTTGAGAGCTGGGTGGCCAACAGGATGAGGATATGCTGCGTAGATGGAGACATGGTTTGGCCGGGAACTTTATGGTTGTCATCAAATATTCTTGCCTTCAGCATCTTGGGAATATGTTCCTTGGATGGAGACCTTCAATAGCTTATTGCATTTAATTCACTGAAAACATGATCTAAGCTTGAAAATCTGGCAACATTAAGTGGATTTCAGCATGAACCAGTCATCTTCTTTCAGTAGAGCTTTGGGAAAGCAAGGCGTGTGGTATATCTATCATCACCTGCTAATTCAGCAAAACCAAAACTAGGAAGAATGATTGAGCCATGGTGGTCACTGGTAGCCAGGCAGTGGGAGCACCCGCTCAGCTGATAGAGGGTGGTGCATTACATCATAGTAACTCCATTAGAAGACAAGTTTGCCTAGTTAATGTAATCTGGTTCCTGATACAGCCACTAGGGCCTGATTCCGATTCTTTAGGTCAGAAGACATGTAATAGCAAGAACATGGCATGCTTCCTCATTTATGTAAATGCTCGGTTTAATTATCTGCATATACAGAGGCAAAACTTCAAGCAGTAATTGAGACAGGTTGTGGTTAAAACACCATTGCCACCACTTCTGTCTTGGTAGGGTTCCCAGCTAGCTATGAACATAATTACTTAATCAAGTAAGCTTAATTTTCTCTTATAATTCATGCTTCTATGATTTCAGCACTCTCTTCTCTTCCATTTCAACACACAGAAGAAGAAGAAGAAGAAGAAGAAGAAGAAGAAGAAGAAGAAGAAGAAGAAGAAGAAGAGAGGGAGCTTGGGAAATGGGCTTGGAAGGTGCCAAATGAGGATGGTCTGGTAAGCCAGGGTGCCCACTGAAATCAAGAGTCCTACAGTTGCCTCACTTTGCATGGGCTCTGCCCTCTCCTGCCTCTCTCTTATCATAAAAGCTGCATGCTGTGCAGACTATACCTATGTCGCTTCCATCCTTTTACTAGAGGCCCCCAGTCCCATCCCCAGCCATGTGTGGTCTTCACATACTGATCCCTGCTACAGCAGCAATGGTAGCAGCAGCTCCCTGCTCAGCCCACTCACATACTGATCCCTGCTACAGCCCACTCACAGACAAAGGGCAGTGTTGTGTGTGTGTGTGTGCATGGTAATTGGTTCTTGTTGTTCTTGTTACTGACGACACAAAGGGCTCCCTAACTTTGCTGCTATGGGCAAGCAGAGAGCTGCAGCACCCTCTGCATGTTGTGGAAAGGGATGCAAGGAAATAAGTGGACTGGATTGGAGCACGTACGTCCTCTCCGTGTTTCCTACCTTCCAACTGCTTCCCCCACACTCCGCACACCTTTCTCACCAGTTGTTAGTTACCTCTTCCTTGCCCTCCTCTGCATTTATCACCACCACCACTTGCTCACTGCATACACTGTGGTGCTTTCATTCAAGAATAAGGATGACTGCACCCTAAAACTACACTTCTGACCCTAACTGGGTGGAAACCACTTGCAGAAGGAATTTGAAGTTGAAGAGAATGGGCAAGTTGGAGAAGGAACAAATACCAGATGGGAAAGAAACCATACACATAAAAAAAAGAGAAAAACATGCAGTCGAGGCCCACCCTTCATTCCTCACAAAACACCACTTATAAAAGATGAGAAGACAGAAGTCCCTCAGTTGCTAAAGATTCCAGCAAACTCCCCTTAATGGAGCACCAAGCAGAGAATTCTTTCAAAAGGAAACAAAGCAAATCCCTTGGAAGCAATGTAATGCATTGCAGCAATACGATAATGGGAAAGGAATACAATCCCAGAGGGGGAGAGAGAGAGAGAGAGGAGG